GCTGGCAAGCTTGGGACACTCTGAGGCTTGCACTGAAAGAGTTTCTGCAGCAAGAGCCAGCAGGCAAGTTTCAAACCTCCCCAGTTTGTGGAGGGATACTGTTCTCTCTGGGGCTTTGAGAAGTGTTCGCTGCCTCTAAGGCTGGGGGGGGGGGACGGGACGACGGGACGGGGACACACAATGGTTTGTTCCCCCCCCAACTGGGGGTGGGGTTGGGGACCACAAAAAGGCTTTGTCTCTCAGACACTTTTTTTGCAGCAGCCGAGAACTGGATACTTTGGAACCTCCACAGCTGGAAAAGTTTTTTCAGCTCTCCTTTTATTTATTTCCCCCCCCCAAACCATGAGCACCATGACATTCCTTCCCCTGTACAAAAAAATAATAATCCCACAGAGGCTTGCTGTTCCTCTTTCCAACATTTATTTCTCACTGTTTCATAAGCACATGTTCCCAATATGCATTTCCTGTATAAATACACAGCCCAGCCTTTCAAGCTTCCCACCACCCCACTGTATAAATCAGCTGCATCCATTTTCCACAGCCTCCTTCCCAGCAACCCTAACTCACCCCTCCTCCATTCCAGCCAATAGCGAGGCGGGGGGGGGGGCTTCCCCTCACCACCAAGGGGGGGGGCTCTCACAATGATTGACGTGACAGAAGGTATGTCTAACATCCTCCTACTGTCAATTCAGTCTCAAAGCAGGTTATAGGATAACAGGGGCCATCATTCCACCCTGGGAGCTGTCATTCCAGTCCCCAAACACTGATGCTACTCTCAGGAGGAGCTGTCATTTCACCCTGGGGGATGTCATTCCAGTCCCTGAATGCTGGTGGTGCTCCCAGGGGCCATCATTATATTCTGGGTACTGGCATTGCAGTCCCAGGGTAGTTCATCTCTGCTCAGGGGCCATCATTCCACTCTGGGGCTTTTGTTTCAGTTCCAGAACACTTTCTACGGTCCCAGGTACACTCTGGGTTGTCCTTCCAGTTCCAGAATACTTATGCTACTCACAGGGACCATCTTTCCATTCTGGTGGCTGTCATTTCCAGTCCCAGAAATAGTATCCCATTCCCTGGGATTGTTATTCCATTGTTTTGCCAGTCCCAGTGCATTTTATCTGAGTCCACAGACCATCATTTAACTTTGGGGGCCTGTTGTTCCAGACCTAGAGCTGTTTATATGGTTCCTTGGGCCATCATTCTACTCTGGTGGCTATCGTTCCAGTACCAGAACAGTCTTGCTACTCCCAGGGGCTGTCATTCCTCCCTGGTTGTCAGACCCTGGATTAACCACTCTGTACACAATAGTCCTTAGTTAGGTTTATTGGTAAGATATGGCTTCTGGTCAGGTGAACACCTTTGCCAGAACTAACGATCAATAGCCCAGGGGTGGGGAGTGGGGAATGGGTTCCACCCATCAGGCATACGTCACAATCACCCAGGCTACTACAGGTCATGAGAGATTATTCTACCCAGCTAACTGCATCTCAAGATTCCTTTCTCCCAAGGCCACAGCTGGATCTTTGAACCACGTGGGGGTAGCTTCCGGAAAGTTACAAGCGGAGCCTCTACTCAACACCATACATTCATTCTCACACTCTCCCCCCCCTTAGGAATGTCAGGGAGGACTGATAAGGTAATAAGCTGAGCCAGCAGATATGCAAAGTGGGCAGGGGTTACAAAAGCAAAAGTGGGCATTAGCAACGCAGGGCAGCAATTTACAGTTATTGATGATGATACAAAGACAAGCATTCCCTATGTTCAGGGTCCGAACCTGACACTGGTGGCTAGTTCCAGGGACTGTCATTTAGGGGCCTTTCTTTCAGTCCCAGGGTGGTTTTTCAGGTCCCAGAGACCGTTCTTCCACTGTTAAAGCCGTCGTTCAATTCCCAGAACACTCATGGCCCTCCCAAGGAGTCCCAAGGACCAACATTCCACTCTGGGAGCTGTCCTTCTAATACCAGAATTCCTATGCCACTCTTAGGGACAACCCTTCCACTCTGGTGGCTGTCTTCCTAGTCCCAGAACAAATATGCCATGCCCTGGGACAGTCATTCCATTCTAGGGACTGTCATTTCCATCCAGAGCATTTTATCTGGGCCCAGGGACCACCACTCACTTCACCCACAGCTGTCATTCCAGTCTCAGAACACTTATGCTACTCAGAACACTTATGTAATTCCACTGTGGGGGCTGCCATTCCAGTTCCAGAGCTCTGATTACCATCCCAGGGACCACCATTCCACTTTGCAGCTGTCATTCCTGTCCCGGAGAAGTTTATCTTAAGCCAGGGACCATCATTCCACTCTTGGGACTTGTCATTCCATGCCCAGGGCAGGTTTCTCAAAATCTGTTTGGCATTTTCATTGCAACCTTTCTGTCCTGCAATATTTTTCAACAGAGCCCATGCAAGTCAGCTGGCATTCCCATGGGTCTTCAGGCATATTCGCTTTTACCCAATGAGCCCTTTTTGTCATTCGTGTTAGTAATCCCAGAGGAAACAGCCCCTTGCAAAATAGGGAACAGAGGGAAAAGGGGGGGGGGGCCTAGTCCTTATATCAATAAGGAAATATATTTCCTTGTTAGAATCTGTTAGGTGGTGTCAGTGTCCTTTGATTAGAAGTGCTTCAGAGTTTTCCCCCTCCTGCTTCTGACCAGGTGAGTTCTCTGACTGCCAAAAGCTGCCGCCACCACCACCACAGTAGACAGAGTTAAGGTGCCACAAGACCCTTGGCTGCAGCAAAGTACCCTTCTGAAAGGATGTTTCCTGACATTTTTAAAGCTGTGAAGAGCAGAATCAAATTTCTCCAGGAAAGAAAGGGATTCATGCTGGCTCCTCTCCCTTTCCCTGGAAAAGGCTCCTTCTGTGGAAGCCTGCCGTGTTGCAACACCCTGCTTTGCCATTCCCTTTCTGACAGAGGAGGCTCGGATTACACTCGCAATCAAGCAGAGAGAAGTGAACCCAGGAAGTGATGTAATGGGCTGGCAAATGACTACACCTTGAGTCACCTGGGCCCAGACAGAGCAGCAGCGGAGGAGAGAGGAACGCAAGAGGAGCGCTTAGTCAGTCCAGCCGCTCAGACAGGCAATCCTGTCACCCTGGGGGACAGGCAGGGGGCCCCATGGAAAAGGAGGGTAGCTCCCCGTGGGCCATGGGGCTGCTGAAAACCTTTGAGGCCAGCGAGCTCGTCAGCTGGGAGAAGATTGGCTCCGGTGGCTTCGGGCAGGTTTACAAGGTCCGCCACATCCACTGGAAAACATGGCTCGCTATCAAGTGCTCACCCAGCCTGCATGTGGATGAGAAGTAAGTGCGCGCCCGGCGGAGAGCCTGGCTGCAAAGAGCAGCTGCTGCGCAGACAAATGCGGCGGTGTCAGGCGGACGCAAGCAAAGGGAAATGCAGACCTGCAGGGAGTTTGACACGCTTAAGTTTGCAACGCTGCCTCTTAGCACGGCACGCGAAAGCCACGTTAAGCAAAACTTGGTTG